AGAAGGATGAATAGAAAGAGATGTCACGTGCCCCCTGATAAAAACAAAACAATGTATTAGCCACATACATTATTTATAAGGAAAATAAACATGAAAATGTATGTGAATGTGCAGATTTAAGAAACTCACTTATGTGCCTTAATGGATTTCAGGCATTCCCATCTCTTTGTGTTCCAGATACAAATTACGCCATCTTCAGCCCCACTCAGTAGATGTGCGGTACCGTAGAACTCCAAACAAGTTATTGTGCCTAGAAATACAAACTAGAGCTATTAACAATGTTGTACATTCTGAACAGCTATCACACAGAGAATGTATGAATTAACATAGAAGCTTCTAGCACCAAAACATGCCAGCTACTACCCTACCCTTGGGAAAATCCAAATTATTTCCTAAGTATTGTTTCACAAAACCCCCAAACTTTCTTCTTGTATTCAATCACTGATGTGCTCTATCAGCCCCCCTATAGCCATACATGTCTGAACTCCATTCCCTGAAACAGCAGTACTCAACCATGTGATGCAGGTGACACAGAGCTTCTATCCGTGAGAAGGAATGTTCCTATGTCAAAGCCCTGCTCTTGACACACAGCTGAATTCTGCACGTGCTGCTTCCTGCAAGCACCAGATTTATAATATGTGAGTTGAATGCAGGTACCATGTTCAGTCTCGCTCCAGGTACTTCTTGGTTATCATGAGAAAAAGGTCAATCAGGATTCAGCTACAAATGATCCAAACACGTTTATTTGGACGGCCATTAACTGACGTATTACACGGCTGTAATTCAGAAGGCGCATAAAGTGGGAAATGTGCCAGGTTAACTCTTCTGGTAGCAGAAACCTGCTCTCGCACACAAATTCTCTCTTTTGTGTGTCTCATGTACGTTTGTTACAGGAGAAGCACACTGGGAAAGATGGTTGTTGGGAGTAGGCATGATACAGATGAACTGTTCTGGTAGAACAAAAATGGCTCACGAGCCATGTGTTGGCCATAACTTCATAAACAGTTAAAACTAAAAATAATTGGAAGAAGCAGCTATATTTGTGGGCTAATACCCCAAATTATTTTTGGATATTTATGCTCAAAAGCTTACCTTGCTTGTATCATCAGACCATCATGGCTGCAACACCATCACTATTAAAGACTTATTAAAAAAAAAATCAATTTTCTTCTTCTGGCAAGGGCAAGTTTTTCAGCTATAGGTTTCTATCACTAACAGCTTTTTACAAAGAAAAGCTCCCTTACCATTGTGTTGCAGCAATGCCCCATGTTCTATCTTCTTTTTCATGTCATAGATTTGGATTGTCTCATCTCTGCTCCCAGTGACCACATATCTGTTATTCACCGCTACCGCTGACAATGAGGCAGAGTGGGCATGGTGTGTAAAATCAGGGACAACCGTCCAGGACTGTAAACGAAATACAAAATAAACAGGTATCTCTGAAGCTTATCATATGGAACTTGAACTTCATCATCCTGTAATTATTTTTTTTTTTAATCAAAACCTGAAAAAATGTGTAAAATGCTAAGGAATTATACTTAGCTGTAGGTATAATGGGATCTTACTGAGTTAATGTGCTGTTAGGAGATTAGTCCGAACGATTTAAGTGTGCAAACCGCCTGCTGTAAGCAGTGTTGGGCTTAGACGAAGCGGTATGTGAGAAAGCATCTGCACAGAGATAAATCTCGTGGACAACGGAGGCGGATTCTCCCTTTTTCCACCACTGCAGGCCGGAGACACGCCTTCCACCTGGCACCGGCAGCCCACGAGACAATGTGCCATCCATCCCCTGCGCAGCTGTCTATTCTCAGCTGCGCGCTGACCGGCTGAGAGGAACGAGCTTATAAGCCAGCCCCCCCCCCCCCCGCACCCGCCGCGGCCGCCGCG